GATCTGCAAATAGAAATGTGCATAGTGACTGTGTATCCATATGGGCTTGCATTCCTCCCGGTGTTTTGGCGTAAGTTTGCTATTTCACAGTAACGATGTTATCGAATCCCGATTGCTACTCGGAACGCCGACGTACATAAGTATTTCTGCACAACGGAAATCTCTACGTCAATTATTGAAAATCAGCACTACAACCCATATATTGCAACCCAGATTGGTGTGACGGTTCTGATCTCGTTCAACACGCCGTCTCGTTCAGAGTCTGAACCCAGGCCCACGATGATAACAAAGCTAGAGCATGCTTCAGAACATACCTGCTGACTGAACATCCGGGTCGGACACGGGACATAAGGCCGAGTGTATTGTACTGTTCACCCTGTTCATCATTGCGAAAGGGTTCAAACTGATTGCCAAGATGTACACTGCGTTGATTTTCTCAGTCGGTCTTGGACACGGAATAATAGTAAGCAAGAATCAATCCGCGTTCGTGATCCAATCCTTCGTTCGTCTCATCAATCAGTCGCTCAAATTGCCCTTCTTCAATTTGTACTTAATGTCCAGATGGAATGAGGTTGCTGTACACGGGAAATTAATATATTCTACGAGGTTCTACGCAACTTAAATACAGGTGTCTTACGTGTCATGTGTCAGCAATTATGACAATAGAAATGTACATTTAGCTTTGACGTGATTGTTCAGGAATTGAGCTTTGATTTGCGAAATTTGTGCTTAAAAGAGTCTTCCTCGGCCACGAAGATCACCGAGAAAATCTCGATGTAGATCATACCGGCACGTGATTGTATGCTTCCGTATATTGCTATTAGACGCTGATAAACTGGAACCTGTACCTGGGCCCTGAGTACTGAGTACGCACCTTACTTGGATTGTGTAAAAAAACCCGTACCAAATCGGGGCATGATCGGTTTCTAGGTCCAGACTGATTCGGAGGCAGGTATGAAATTGCAGCATGTCCAGAATTGGTAATACTAGTCCTATCCATAACACTGAAGACTTACTGTCGGGTATCATCAGTACGATTACTCACAGGCGTTGCGTCGGCCATCGGGTGGGATAGATAGATATGTAAATAGATACACAGCTCCGCTTCAGGCGGGGTCCCACGAGGGAAGGAAAGAAGGAAGAAAGTATATTACACGGCACGGTCCAAGATCTGAACGCCGGATTTCTGAGGAGTATCCCGATGGGGCACAAGCATCACTGTTTACAGAGCGTTCATAGGGGCGGGGACAAGCTCAACTAATAGCCGGGCTCAAAGGGAACGACAAGCGAGCTCGACCTACAGAAGGAAGGTAGATCACGACCGCCACGAATCTTAGAATGAGGTGAGGAAGTAAACGTGAGTTCAGGATTATTTTTATCGATGATATTGGTGCTAGATGTGGGTTGTAAACATTGTAAAAGGAGTTAGACCACGATCCTGGACTTCTTCGGCAAGGTTGAACATTGCAGTCCCTCGTCGAGTAGATACATACTAACAATACATGAACAGTAGCTATAGAAGCACACTAAATATAATATTCCTTAATCACCCTCATCATTTGAACCAGAATCCTGTCCGTCTAGAAAGTCTGAATCGGTGTTCAGAACTCAGAACAAGAAGTAATCAATTCAGACCAGCTATGAAATCAATCTCGTGATTTTTTGAAAGCGTTTCCATCGCAATGTGCCGTCGTGTACGAATTTAGCAGTCGGGATAACAATATCTCGATAGGATCTGAAGGTAGTGGATGGCTGCAGAGTGGGAAAAGAAGAGCGGGAGTGAGGAAGTGCGGGGAAGTGGGTAATGCCTATTAGAAGGAAAGCGTGTCGGAACTGAGGAATTTGAATGGGGAGTGGGTAGAACATGTTGCAGTGTTTCGGCGTGGTTCTCGCAGGCGCAGTATTTCTTCGCTTGCCATTCAGACGGCCCCAGAGGTTTAACTGCTGCAGGAGAAGCATGAAGTACGCGATAGGTGTCATGTCTATTTTCTCTAAAGTATAGACGCTAGTAAGTACTTTCACACATAAGTAGAACCAGATTTTTCTGACGTCAAATTTAGGCCTACAATGGTGCGCGTTCTTCATAGAAGTTATTGGATCTTGCTCGTCCGGCTTGATACTACTTCTTGATCTGAGTGATGTTTAGACTCCTTGATTGTGAATTTCAATCTGCATGGTATCGCAGTTGCGCAAATTACTTGGTCAATGGTGATTCCTTCTAGGAAATGAACTCTCAAGTCGGAAAAGGGTCTAAAGTTTAAAGTACAGGGAATGAGTTTACTTGCATCCGTTTTCCGACACTATATCAAGCTCTGGAGAATCAAACCATCAAAGGCACCATGGGTTTTGAATTACATTGACGAGTGTCCCAATCCTACATTGATAATATACAGTAGATATACACTATGAGTACTCGATTGTCTGGGTAAGTATACAATGTGACGATTATTTGAAGCTATAAAGTTATGTAAACAGATTTGTTCAAAGTTCAACACGGCGGTGTTCAATTCGAAACACCATACAGCTCATCGAGCTGTACTTTATACTTCTCTTCTACAGCCTTCCGTCGAATATTTCCCTTTGACGCTGTACGTGGCAGCGAGCCTCTAGGAACCACGATGATCATCTTCGCCGAGGTAATACTCTCGTGGACGTATCTTCTGGAGTGGAAAGCCCGAATCTTCCGGAATATCTCTTTCTTGAGTTTACTTTCAGGTACTTCTGCGCCGCTCTCTACGAACATAACAGGGGATGGTCGTCCTGTCCCCACGACAATACACTCTGATATCAAGGATCGACACATTGCTCGGGCGTTGTCCTCGATTGACCTGAGAGAGAATGAATTATCAATATATAGTCCGAAAGAAAACGGTTGGAAAATACTCACTTCGTGTCACATCTCAGACTGTTCTCGGTCTTGATCCAATCGTCGTCTCGCCCAGCAAAGATGTATCTCCCAGGTCCGGCCTCAATGAAAAGGTCGCCTGTGTAAAAGTTGTTGTCGTTGGAGTTCCTCAACGAGACATCGGGGCAGTCACCAGAATCTGCAAGTACTACAAACTCTAGCAAGCGGTTGGTGGACTGATATTCGTCATTCAAGGCGTCTTCTGTGTAAACTGGACGAAATTCATATGCAAAACCAGTCAACGGTCGTAGATGATGACGGGTTTTGGGATCCGTTCCACCCAGAGAAATGAGAGCAGAGCCTCCCAATTCTGTGCTTCCGAAAATATTCATGAGCTTGATCCCGTTATTATACGCATAATCCTGATCCTCTTGCGACAAGGCCATACCGCAAGTTGTTACTTCTTCGAGGCTGACGAGCATGGCCAAGACCTTAGGATCTTGTCGTGCTGCTCGTAGATAAACTGAGAAGAAGGCGGCGAATTGCCAAATGCGATTCACATGACAATGCTCTACCATGAACATCAACTCTTCTGTTGGAAATGGCATTTGCTTTGGCTGCACAATGCAAGTTCCATACTGCATAAGACAAATAAGCACTAGAGCGATAGACATTAGCGATACAATCTGAAAATGCTTTTAAGAATGACTCACTGCTTGTCTGGCCGATATGACACATGCTTCCGATCCAAGTGCTAACGTCTTGACGATCTGGATCGTTTGGGACACAAAGCTGACTCGCCTTGTTGGCGATCGAGTCAAGCCAGCGATAGTTGCACGGAACTAGCTTTGGACTACCCGAGGTCGAACCACTAGTATGAAATATGAATGCGATGTCCGAAGGGTTGACAAACTGCTCGTTGGTTCTAAGGAAACTATTGGGAACTTCCTGAACTATTTTTTCTGATAGCGACTGGATATCTGAGAAGGGAGATGCTGAAAGGATTGGTACCGGGTTCTCGCCTGCCGAACTGTTGGCAATCGAGGTCGACGTGCCCGCATCACATACAAGCGCTTTGGCTCCCGCTTTATGAAGGAGCTCAAAGATTACGACTGGATTGGGAAGGCGAAGGGAGAAAAGCTGAGGCACGTAACCTGCCCTTGAGACACCGTAGATATGAACTACATCAGAGTACGTGAAGCCTCCGATCCTGTAAGAAATTTGAATCATTTGACGTTAAATAACAAGGACGAAGTCACTTACCATACTCCGATGACCGACCTGGGTGGCACGCTGGCTTTGAGGTAAAGCTCGCGTGCCCAGTATCTAGCACACAATTCTACATCATCGTGAAACTGTTTGAACGTGATCGTGTCCCATCTTGGAATTCCGCTCGAAGTTGATTGAGCGGAAGGTATCTTGAACGCAGCCAAGTTGGTGAAACGCTCGCTGCTATCTCGGAGAATAGATAGATGAGTTCTGAGCGTACTATCATAAGATGGAGAAAGCATCTGCAGATTAGATACTTCGTGAAACAAAGTGGATGAGTCGACAGATTACAACCGCGTCCTTTTAAAGAAGATATGTAGTACAAATTTCAAGCCCCAGTAGGGAATCATGTCGACGGCGCAAGAGTCACACCAACAAGAGTTTTTCGGAAGCGATGCAGATACGGCCAGACAGCGCTCACGTCTCGGTGAGGGGACCTGAACAGCATTATGTATACATCGCTCGTCCTAGAATGTTTACAAGTTTCGCAATGCTGTTGGGAAATTATCTAGCAAACGTCACATTCAAATAGCTGTGAACCGTGAAACGCCCATTGGATATTTTAGCTGTACAAGACAGCCAACTGATATTGGTGAATCGATATGCAATTCGTTCCGGAAGTGGGCTTTCCAGGTCTGCCAACGGATACCGGCGGCGGTGGCTGATGCGAATCGTGGGTTGAGTTGAGAGGACGATAGATGACTCGAGTATGCACAACATATACACAACGTATAGCCTTTTTGATTGGGCGGCGGGAGCGCCACGCCGCCTCAATGGCCAAACTTAGTTTAATTGGAAGTGCCAAAAGAATGGCTGTACAGAGGGCGGGCAGACGATACTACACTGACCAACGGACAGAAGATAGATGAGATAAAGTGGGTTAAGAACACCGTTGGTGAAGTGGTTATCATGCTTGCCTTCCATTGGTTGACTAGTGACAGTGACAATTGTAAGCAAGCGGCTCGGGTTCGATTCCCGAACGGTGTATTTCTTTTTTTCTGCCGCAGGAAGTTCATTTTCCAGGTTCAAACGTTCTCAAAAGGTTCCTCAAGCTGTAAGTATAGAATTTAAATTACTGCTAAAGTTATATATATGATACAATAGTCTTGTACTACCATTACAGAGTTACAGCAGAGTTATCACCTGGCAGATTACTGTAGCAAGAGTAGAGATACCAGCAAGCCGAGAACATAGTGGATCTAAAAATCATTCATGTTCAAGTGCTCGTAATCGCTGTCTGTCCCACGATCTGACCCTCCACTCTCGATTAACTGATTCTAAAGATTCACCATTTCGTGTATATGCGTGTTCTCCCAGCTCCGGGATTGGCCTCCCATGGATAGCATGCGTATTGAAGGGGAACGTTTCGAATAGAGCACCGCACTGGCAGTAAGAATATGAACGACTTGGCGGGCCATTGTACAATAGTTACCTAGTGGAAGCTCGGAAAATCAAAGCCCCACAACAGGCGGATGAGCGTGAGGCGATGACGAGTTTTTGACGTTGGCGAGATAACGCCGTGTCGCAATGACTTTGTACGAGGAAGCCATCTTTCAACAGTCGATGGAATTGTTGGGTACTCATTGGAAGATTCTGGTGGACAAACGACCTAACTCGTTTGGAGAAATTCAGGAGCGTGATCCTCGAGAACTGAAGGAGCTGCAACGAAGTATTGGGAAGGTTACGGAGAGCCCGATCTAGGTCCATGAGCCATGAACAGTGACGGTTTTGACGAATTTGGCTGCTGGTGGAGAGAGCGGTCCATGCATGTGACAACTAAGGGCGGTCGTGAAGGTAGCTCTATTCTTGTAATGCGAGGAGGGGGCGATAGCGGAGAGGGACGAGACCATGTTGAGTAAATAACGGCCTCCTTGCTTGGATTAATACCAAGGCCAAGGATTCGTCGCTTGCGCCGAGCATAAGGGTTGAATATTGAATGGACGAGTTAGTGACGTCAATTTTGACATCGCAGTCGCCGATCAAGTAGCAGATGGTACGCGAGCTCGAGAGAGTAGATGAAGAAATTCTAGAGGGCCGGAGAAACATAGTGTTTCACACCCCGGACAGCGCAGAGCGCATGATAGGGCATCTAATGGGGTTGTACCAGGTTGCACCTTGTCCGAGCCATTACATCGATATGACCAATGACCTCCTTTGGTTCAATGACTAGTCTATCATGAGCTACTTCCGCACATTTTTCAGTAAAATAAGAAATGCTTGGTTACTCGTAACCCTCGTCGCAAGACGAGTCACTTCTGACCTACCACCTGCGGCCCAGCCTTCCCCCTTCAGATTGTTCTGGTTAAAGCAATTGCATTTGAAACATACTTGGGAGGTACCGCGTATCGTTCGAACCCTACCATGTCAAGGACCAAGGTATCTTTCACTCTCCGGTCCAACTCCGGTCCGCCTGCTTCTTTCATAACTTCAAGCTTTACCCTGAGGCACATTCTTCTAATTCATCATTGCCATCCGGACCTCCACTGGATAAATTTTTGGTTCGCAGAGATAATTTCAATTGAAGAAACGAAACCTACTCTTTTACCGCTATGTTACGTCCGGCCTCAAACCGAAAAGTACAATGCAAACATGGTTTGCGTGCTTCTTCGTGCTTTACGCTCGTCGAAATGCACGTTGTTCAGTCATTTGAACGCTATGAGGTTTGTGAATGGAGATTCGCGTTTAACACAGAATTGTGATTCGCCCTGGAACTACGTGGGCAATCTTTCCGGTTCTGCTGCGAGTGAATTTTTCGAGCCTGCTGCACCCATGACGAAAGAGGGGCAAGTGCTCCCAAGTGACTGCAAGAAAATGGCTTCATCCACTCCGCCAGCCACGTTGAAGTATCCACGTTGGCACGTAATTCTCGTGTATATCCCACTGGGTTGCTTCCTCGCCTAGCTGAGATCTAACCCTCTCTCGTATTTATCATATTCTGTGCGCTCTCTTCTTATCTGTAGCTGACAGTCCTCTCTTATGCAGTTCATTCACATACATCCACTCTGTTTTTTTCGACACCGATCCAGGAACGCGCAATGGACTATTCACGGCCAATCTTCTGTTAGCAAAATATCAGATATATCGAACCACCTACCTATGTAGATCTAAGCGTAAAAGAAGGGGAACGTCTATACATTGTGAGTGGCACCCAAGTGATCATTGATCCTTGCTGTGTTTTCTTAGTAGCTTCAACGTATGACCTCAAAGCAGATGATGGGCAACGATCAGGACTTTTTGTTTTTATTTTCACGCCGTGTTAGAGGCAGCCACTGTACTTTGTCACTTTTTCCTTCCCGATGTTGTCAGTCACATCGCCGTTCATAGGCGAAGAGATGAGGTTCGACTACTCACGCTCGGGCTTCAAGGTTCTCTAGGCAAGACAAAGCACTATGTAACGGGGATAAAGGAATTTCGACGGTGTTCAAGCGCAGCTGGGTTTGTTTGTAACTTTCCCTTCCAAGCCTGTCTTTTTTTTGCTCGAGGTCCTTGTTTTTAACTAGTGATCTTGCTATCCTAACCTTCTCGTCGCTCCATAATATTCCTTGTTTTGGACTCCTTGGATAGCCACTAATCATCCACTATTCGATATCATGCGCGATTTTCAGTAATCCTTTCAGAACGTCTGCTCTCGTGCAAAAGTCACATTTCCTATCTGTTCCAGTTTGACAAGTTCGCTAGACTGAGCAACACATCGAGCTATATTTTCTAGAATAGTCGCTTCATTTACCAAGGCTGCGCTACTCGCCACCTCTTCTATAGTCCATCTTGGTGTAGAAAGAATTATCAAAGAGGCACCCCCAGTATCGGTTGCTGCTCTGACCCAAACACGCAACTTCTAAGCCATAGAGGCGGCAGCAGATGGAGGCGACACTACATTCGTTGAAACTTTGCACGTCATTACAAGCCCTGTCGCCAGTATTCCTAGCGCAGCTTCACGTACACTTGCTACAACCCTCACAGTTCAGGGTAATAGTCAATTTGTGTCTCGACTAGGGAAGTCTTGGATCAGTGTCATCCGGAGCGCACAAACACGCATGAGCATTCAAATCAGGTAGGGCAAAGCGTTCTATATCTCTTTTTCATTTTGCCCCCAATACTTTGAACGTTGCACTCATACTGTTAGTCGATTGACTTTAGTAAATATCTCTCTTACTCAATGGGCCCAATGACGAATGATCAATCATATTTAAACTTTCATGGTTTGTCGTAAATTGTCATCCCGACTCTCTAGAGGAGGGTCTTGTGGTGTAGAAAAGGCTCAAAATTCGACAAAATTTGGAGAAAAAGGAATTTACTTCTCACGCAGTCGTCATGGTCTATTCAGTTCCCATTCTAGTTGTCTTTTCCTTGCGACTGATTCATTGTTTTGGTATATTAAATTCAGAGTTGAGTTCTGCTCCTTCCTGGCTTTTGCCTGTGTATATTGATGATCAATTAATGAGTCTGCCTACACTTGCCTTTACCAATACTTTTCTCTCAAACCGCATGTAGTTCGTGCAGTAAAAGATCTGTTGCTTGCCTTTTGTGATTTACAATCTAGTGAAGCTATGTATGTCAAGAAACTACTGAAAAAATTTGGAATGGATGTCATGAATCCTTTGCAATTTTCTTGTCACTGGATGCTATGCACTCCGAACGTTCTCATCTACTTATAGTTGCCGTAGTGAATGCTCAAAAACACTCAATTTTTTCCTGTCCTGCAGTTTGGAGAACACTCGCAGATGGAATAGCAAAACTGACCTTACTGTTGAATCCTAACACTCTGCCACCCATAGATAGAACCTACAGATGGACTTTCGATGAAGAATGTAGATACAAACATTGTCCTAACTACAGTAAATGAGTGAACTATGTGTCAACTACTTTATGATCACATTTGGAGGAGAGTCGGGGACTGCCGCAAGGGCGGCGCTAAGGATAAGTACCATCAAACGGAAACTGACAGGGCAATTCGTGGCTAAATCTATTAACCATATACCTCTAGAATTCCGCGCTCATGGCAGCCTTTGAGCTGGTGCTCAATCATCTCAACCGCTTTGACTCGCAGCTCAGTCTTCGGGCGCATCAAATTTACTAACCATGATAGATCCCTTGGGTCTCGGACATGCAATGCGCTCCTTAACTTGCCCAGTTTTGCAAAACATGGGTGTTGAAGAACCGCATCTAGGCGACCCAGGTCCGGAGAACGTGTTATGAGCCATGGAACGTCAAGAATTTCGAGGGAGGCGGGAAAAGAGCTGTTAGAGGAAGCTGAGATTGTCAAGTTCTTGAGAAAAGGCTGTAAATCTGCGTCGATATCTAGCAGTAGCTTCCTGAGATTACTATTTTCAACAGTGTTCCAGTGATCGAAAAAGAATTTTGCTGCGCGATGCAGAGACATACGTATTTTGAATCTTCAATTCAAAAGGTGTAGACGATGTCAAGCTTACCTGAGCCAGATGAGTGTTGTCCAGCTGGTAAGAAAACCGATAATTCCTGTAGTGATTTACCCGCAGCCGTGATCAGGTGTGCTACAGCTAGATATGAATCAAGCGACGCAAGGGCACGACTTGGTAGGAGGTGAATAGTTAATGACGTTAAGGTAGGAGCAAAAGGAATCAGTGAATTGATGATGCCGGTAGAGCTGGGCAGCATATTTTTCAACTGAATGGTGTGAACCGAAGGGGGAGACGCGAGGTCAGTACTCGCCAGAATGGGCTCCGGGTCCAAAGCCGAGGGATTTCTCTGAATAACTCGGTCCAGCACGAGGCGTTCCAGGGCAGTAAAAGAGCTCAACAAACGAGAGAGCTCGTTGCCGTTTCGAAAATCAGCATGTGCAAGTTCCAGGGTCGTGACGCCCCGAAAACCGGAATGAATGGAATTTTTAGCTGATTCTGATATATTCCACCATTCGAACCCTCCGAAAGCTAATTGTCGCAGGTTCAGCAAGCAATCCACCATTATAGGATATCCCGTAGAGTCTGATTTCCGAGTGAAAACTTTATTGA